AAGCCTTTCGGCAGTGCCCCGGATGGAACGGAGCTTCGACCGTTGGGGACTCGGTTGGGGGTGCGTCGGTCAAACAGAAATGGGAGACGGTCCGGACATGACGTCGTGGGACATTTGATAGACAGTGACTTTCAGTTTGCGGGAGAGGTAGCTGGTGTTTTTCAAAGCAGACAGGTCTTTTCATGTCTTTTCCATTTGCATGATCTTGCTGCTTTCAACACTCGAGCCCCAGTGGGCCTGGGATTTTCTGATGCTTGTTGATTGAAGGCGCCCCACATGTCAAAGACTTGATGACAGCCAGCGGCTGGCCTTCCACATGCAACCCAAGGAATCTCTTCAATGACACGCTGATGGCACAACGTGTGGCCAAGAAAGACCTCTCCACGCGCTTTTACATCCGGATTGCTGACACGCTTCGCCTTTTAGCCAACATATTTCTTTGATATTTGTGGTTTGTTATGTTTTGTTTTTCAATCTGAGCCTGGAGATACAAGCTAGTGAAGCTGTCAAAGGTTCATTTATTTCAACCCGGAAGCTGGTCATTTTGAAGACGGACAGACGGCTTGTTATTTGACCGACCTTTCGGGAGGTCAGAAGTTCTCCTTCGACTTCTACAATCCCATGGTGGTCCAGAAATGCATCGCCACCACCCAAGCGCTCTTGAACGATCGGGACGTGGTGCCCAGACAGCAGATACTGCTAGATTCTAGATGACCTGGGGGATCTGGGTGGGAAGTGGATTTAGAATGATTTCTGTGATGTTCCACCAGAAATAGTCAGGGGCTGCGGCTGAGGATGCTCAAGTTCTTGTAACTGTAAGTCTAAGTAAGTGTTCTGGATGATAAGCGACTTCAATCTGTTCAATCTAAGAGAAGCTTGCCATAGAACCGTCACAAGTACGTTTCGGAATTGGTCCAGGCGTGAAGCCGACAATTGAGGCCGTGGTGGGAGAAGCTGGCGCAGGCAAAACCGATTGCATCATGACCATGTGTCCTGGCCGTCCACATAGCATTTGGGGCCTTCGTGGAAGGGAAATGTTGTGTGTTTGTTTCTCTCTTTTCTGCCGATGAAATCTACTTGTCATTATATCTCATGTAGAAATAGAATGACGCGGCCAGAAAAGGTTGGAATTTGCTCCAGATTCCACACCCGCATGGCCTCAAAGGTTGTTTTGCTTGCTCGAGAAGTTTGGTCTTCCAATGCTTTGGGTGGAAAGAATCAACACATTCGGAGCCTACCTTCGCTGTCCGTCTCTGCCAGGAGTTCCCAAACATCGATGGAAAAAACTCTCATCTGTCAAATCCGCCGACAATCCTCTTTGGGTGAAGTGGCTGGACTACCTAGCCTAGCCCACTTAGGAATCTTCAAAACTGGACACCCTTAACTAACTACGGATGGTTCATTCCCCTTTGGCTTTTTCGGATGGTCCTGGCAATCCTTCGGATGGACGTGCGAAGTTGCGAAGCAACGCGGGTCGCGCTTCGCGTGGTCCGAGGTTGGAGGCGGCTGAAGACTTCCCCGATGACCTGGGACAGCCCTTGTTTCCCAAGGTGAAACTCATGCGTGCCCCAGCTCATGATGATGGCTTGGAAGAGCCAGTGTGACGGTATTACGGATCTGAGTAGTGGTTATATTAAATATCAGGCTAAATATACTCACAGCGAGAGGAGCAGGGAATATATTGTGGATCGTTGTAAGCCAAAGAAGCAGCTGAGAGGAGAGACGAGGAAGGTACGATGGATGATTCGCCGGTTGGTGACGAAATGTGACGACCCTCAGAGTGTTCAGAAAGCGACAGGACATGCCCCCCATGGGGGAATGGAATCGGCGACGCCTTGGGATACCAAAACAGGTCTTTTGATGTGGGCCAATGGCATAAAGATGGGTGCAATAAAAAGAGAAATCGTCGACCCACTGGTCTTGGTCTCTCTTGAAACCACTAAGAATAGAATAGTTTTGAATGTACCTGGAGGTGATGCACAATGATTTTTTTTTTCCGCGTTGAGACGTTTTATTTGCATCCGTTGCTTTCGACTTCTGGACGCTTCAACGAGGTATCAACACCTTGGCTCACGACGTGGAAGACGCCCTACTGGTGGTGTCGCGCGCGGCGGCGGAGGCCCAGCGGAAGAGGCGCGGTGGCGCTTGGTGGCGCTTGGTGGCGAATGGCAGTATATTAGGAAATGATAGGAAATCTATAGACTTCGGGTGGTGTTGAGAGAAGATGATTCTTCCAGAGTCTAATGTTCTGGTATGGAATGAACCTTGCCATGGAACCGTTTGCCAGGAGAACTGAAGAGCAAGACGAGAAGCGCCTTGGACTAGTGCTGACCATCGAAACGTCAACAAGCTTGGGTATGAGCAAGACCTCAAGCAGACTGTGTATATGCATTCTTTGCAGACTGACTATACCCATGATGTTTGCAAGTGCATACAAAGTGACACGTGCAAGATTCAATTCCTTGTGATCAACAAGTATAATCGTCTGTCTATAAGGTATAAATGGTATTAGCCAGCTTAGATACCTCTGTCTTTTGGAAACCACTGCTTGCCCATCTCATACTGTAGAAGTCATGCGATGTTCAAGTTGAAAGGATGTCTTTGGAAGCCACCAATTTGCATTTGCCCATGTGCCAGAGAAGCCGAAGATCCGAGTTGCAAACGTCTATCGTAGCAACCTAATAGCTTCTAGCTACGTTCGTAGCTTCTTGTTACTAGTAGTAATGGCCTCCACCCTAGTAGCGATGGCCTCCAACCCTCGAGGTCGCGAGAAGACATTTGGTTGACCTTGGATGGCCCGATGAACCCTGAGTTGTTTGAGGCCATGCCGCACAAGGGAAGATATACATGTTTTTATCATCAGTTTTGCAGTCGGGTTAGACTCAGAATTCGTTTGTTCCTTCAACTTCCACATAGATGATAATGACTTGAAGTTGATTATTTCAAGGAGGTTTGAACAGCGACAATATGATGTGGTTGCAAATTAATGCTTCATGATGTTTCATTTGCACCAAACATGGAGAAAAAAGCTGAATTTCTCTTCTCAGAGCCCTTAGCTTTCCACCGCGTGTGTGCTCTTCCGCAGCGCTGTGCTTTCCTCCTCTTCGCTGTGTCAGTCGGTGGCCGGGGCAATGCCGCTCAGCATCATGGGTCAGAACAAGCCCTACCTGCCCAAGACCCGCGCATATCGGATCATTGCCCGGATGCCAGGAAGGGGGGATCGAACAGAAGGGGGTATCGAGATGGATCGAGAGTCGTGTGGAAATGCTCCAATTTCTGGGGTTCAAGGGTTCAAGGCAAAGGTGTGAGGCGTGGGATTTTCGAACTTGGCAGGAGAGAGGGATATGACTGTGATGGATTGCTGCTGCATCTATCAACTATTCGACAAGGACCACGTCAAACAATGTCAAACTTTCAAACCACTCCACACCTTCGCAAGCTTAGTTGATGGGTGCTGTAGTGGGTGCTATGATTTCTTTGAATCCATTCGTTTTCCTTGACAAAGCAGTACGGCCTCGGCACCTCGGCACGTGCAAGGTTGAGACGGACTACCTGGCACGGCTCTCGCCAGCAACGGTGGGGCCCTCAGCCGACCTGAACGACAAAGATGCGTCGTCCACGAGCGCATGAGCGTTCGCATGAGCCGACCAAAGTCAGCCGAACTGTGTGCTTCCTGCCTAGTAGTAACAGGTGCCTTACTAGTAGTAACAAGAACGCTAGTAGAAACTTCATCGGCCAAACTGTGTGTTCAAAGACCGTTCTTATGACATTACACCTCAGTCCCCCGGTCCCTGTCACCCCTTTGTCACCCGACTACGCATTGGCCGAAACCTCCGAAACCTCGCTTTGCCCGCACCGGACGCAGCGCGGAAAGGCCTCGAGTCTGGCGGTGACCTACATCGATACCGAAAGGGGACCCACCTGGAAGGATCGGGCCATGGCCTGGGTCCACAGGCCGGGAGCAGTGTGCAGTGTGCCTCATCCGGTGTGTGGTGGGAGCGTGCGGTGTGCCAAAAGAAAAGCCCCCAAGGTCGGTAGATGTGCAGCTCTTTTTGGAGCCAGGCCAAAGGCATGGCGCGTTTATTTTTTGTAGGGGTGTCAGGTTTGGTTAGCTGTGCCTGCGGCATCTTACTGTTCACGACATCTTTAGGTCCCAGCCCTGGTACAACTTGGTTTGAGTCGAAAGGAGGTGTCCTTCTCCAACCTGGCGCAGGTTTGTGCTGACTTGCCCGGAGTATGCCAAATTTCTGGAGTTGACCAAGGAGCTACTGATGCACCTCATGGACTCTTGATTCCGAATATGTTGTTGTTCTCCCTTCCACCTGCGGTTTTTTAAAGTTTAACGTGTTTTCTACAAAGCTACCATGTCAAATGGGTCAGGTCTCACCTTAAAGAAAAGCAACAATCTTGGTTCGGGGTTTCTCCTCCCATGTTCTCAACACTCAAGGGACCTATAGCCGGGGGGTTCTCAAGACTCAGCTCAGGTGTCACCATTCACCGTGTGACCAGCTCAGGACAGCATTTTGGCCTTCGTGCTCTACTACTTTCACTTCAACCCCTCCGAGATCTCTGCGGCAGCCACCGAAGGCGCAACGGCAGAGATAAGGCGCAATGGAATGTGGAGCAAGGAATGTGAACATTTGCTTCTGAAGGAAAGCTGATCTATATTATTTGTGTAAGCTGTAAGATGTTCATGACATCAGCATGGCCTCTATGCAACCGGTTAATGCAACCTTCTGAAACGACCACGACCCGTGTAACTACGTGGGATTGTGGATGGGGGCCGCCCGCTGTGGTGTATATCGGAAGGGAAAGAGCCAAGAGGGAAACATCTCAAGAAGACAAGGAGGATCTCATGAAATTGGTGTGCAGCGACAAGATGCGACAAGTAGTGTGATTGATGGATAATGATAGGATTCCAAAGTTCCAGATCCAACTACGATTTTTCGGCATCCCAAAATGTTTGGATCACGCAATCACGACTGAGCGACGCTTGCGGAATGCCAGCGGTAGCGATTTTGCCTCGCCAAGGTGAGGCCTTGGACTATCGACATCAGCAGAGCCTCGGGAGAAAAGGGCGGGTTGATGTGTTTCTCGAGAGGCAGCAGCTCCTGGACTCGGAGTGGGACCTCCATAGGCCCCAAGGCCTGGTGGATTCTATCCAGAAGATCTGGGACCTCCCTCCCTAAGACAGACTCTAATAAGTTCAAAAGGCTGAAGGGAGATATTACTTGAAGCCAGTGGGTGAGCTAATGTGAGCTATAAAGGATCCATATATCTTCGAGTCATTAAGTCTGCTTTCGGGTGTACACATCATCTCTCTGACCGGCAATGTGACACTTGGCTTGCTCGGCTCAAGGACCACGTGCTTTTTGTCCTGCTTCACCTCCTTGCTGGTGGATCCTGTGGTGGAGAAGCAGTTGCTGGCTGCCACTGAGGAAGGCCTGGTCTCACTTCGGATGTATAGATCATGTCTTTGACACTGCTCGAAATGAAACCCGTCCCTTCCACAGCTCCTCAAAACCAAAAGACAAGGAGGACACCGGATGACTGGATCCGGACGTTCTGCCGGTGGACGCGTCGAAACGTCGCAAGGTCAGGAAGCCTTGGAACGAGAGGTGCGGTTGCTCATCGGGATGTCTTCCATCAGCGCTTTCGGCGCCTCCTTATTCACCTATCAAAGGCCTGGGCAATCCTCACAGTGGGGGGTCCTGGTCAGGAGAGATGTGGTGGATAGGCCAGGAACCCTCAAAAGGGGTGGGTTGGCTGGACTGCTGCTTAAGCCTTTAAAGACCAACATCTTCAACCTGAAAATAACACCCCCTTAAACTTGATGTCCTATGTAAAGACGGTCAGTGTCAAGGTTCCATGTGGCCTCTTCCAAGGCCCGTAAAGCGCTGCTGTGGCTCCAGTGATGTGTCTCATGGTCAACTGGCCAGGCCACGCTTTGAGAAGTACATTCGAGAGAACGTTCTGGATCCAGTGCATGCCATCACTTTCCCTCCGCTCTACGACCTCTACCTGGACCCGGAAGTGATGGGTTGCAGTGAACCGTCGGCGTTCAAGAAAAGGGTTCATCACCATAGGATGTGTGGTGCCGATATTTGTTTAGGTGACCTGCCGGCAGCTGTTGGGATTAGGAAAGGCCACAAAAGGATGATGGCACCGTCATATAGTCATATGAATTCTATGCTTATTGAACCCCATTCCAAGAACTGTGGAGCAATTGGCTATGTGCAGAAAGCTCAGAACCTGGGGTCTCAACATTGGTGCAGCAAAGTGCAAACAAGACATGTTGACCTATGCGCAAAAGTTTGTTCATGCACCTGCATCTCTTGTGCCTTCGAGTGGTTGCACCAGAAACCTATACACCTTCACCAACTAGCAGACGGCTTCGCAATTTTTCCAGTCTCATCTTCAGCCGATGATATTTTCCATAGTTGGTTTAGTAATGCCGCCCATCCACCCAGCGTCCGTCCCTCAGTTCTAACTACAACGACTTGAAAACAACGCGCGGAGTCGCGGGTCTGCAGGACTCCCGCACGGGGCAATTTCAGGCGGTGGGGAAGATGGTCCACTTGACGGAGCCCATTTTGGAAGCTCACAACATTTGTGCTTGGACCGCGTGGAATGGGGGAATGGGAGAGTGGGGGAATGCAGAGCAGAGCAGAGCGCCCAGGGAGAGAGAGAGAGAGAGAGATATGACTGTTGGATTCTTTGGGCGATTCTTACGTAAATCATCTAAATCTGAATCAAAACAACATCCACATGGCGTGGTTTGGAAGATCAATGTTTTTTTCTTTTCCTCTTTGAGAGCCAACAGGCAAAATGGAAGCACTTCTGATGGCCTCAAGCGTCGCTTGAACAAGCCGAGGCGTCGCCACGGAAGAATTTGTGCCTCGGCGCCACCGAACGTGCTAGACAATTGTGTCTCACGCCGCCTTTCCTCTCCAATCACCACCACCACCACCTTCCAAGACTCCAAGCCTCAGCAAGACTCCACCCTGCCGTGAACGCCGTGCGAAGCACGCGGGTCAGTGGGAAACCGCTTCTCCTGCGATTTCAGGTCGCCTTCCAGTTGCGGCTCCGTCGCTTGCTGGCGATCAACGCTCCGGTGCTGCTGGCGGGCACCGCGGGCAGCGGGAAGTCCGCTCTACTGCGAGCCTTGGACCGGCACAGTCTCTACGTCCGTAGAGACCGGGTGACATGGGCACGGTACACTCCAGATCGATCAGGGGCTTGAAATGTCGCAGGTGTTTCTCGTGAGTGATGAATCGACAAATGGTGCAATGTGTGGGTTCTATATGGTTCTACTGCGTTTGGGATGGACCGAAGTACCTCAAAATCGATGATGCGCGATAACATGGTACCCACAAGCACATGCTCCGATCGAAAAGTGATGAGACTGACTCAAGATCGGGAACAATAACAGGATTGACTGTGTGGGAACGTGTATGATATGTATGGTAACCTAGAGTTTCAAAAGCCGATTCCCAAGGGGCGTCGGTGGCGCCTTGATGTTTTCTGATTCATGCATTGGAGTTTGGATAGATTCCAAAGGTGAGTGGTTGATATCCCTGTCATGCCCATGTGGATGATCAAACTATTCTCGCTCAGGGTACGTGAGCGAGTGAACTCGAGTTTGATTTTAGTTACCTATAGGTACAGGAGCACTAAGCAATACTTTAAACATCATTAAACACCAATTGCAGGTGATTTCTGAGCAACACTTGTCAGTTGATTTCTGGTCTCGGAAGGTGTCTTGTGAAGGTCCGGTGATGCGAACCAAGGATATTTGCATGGCTGCAAATCTCCATCCACTGCCACTGGGATCTTTTGGCAAGCTCCAAGCGTGAGTCGTGATCAAACTTGAGCGACTCAAGTCGTGCTTTCTCTACGAAGATGAGAGGCAGTTGGGGATATTTGGGGATAGGTGAGCTTGAGCTAGTTTAAGTGAGCTTGAGCTATCTTTCCTTTCCTCAAACCAGATGAATTTTCGCCATCTGAAAAGGCTTTCGTTGTCCGAGGCAGGGCTACTGCGGACGTGCCCGGATCTGGGCCCTGAGGAGCTGCAACAAGCATTGACACTTAACCTCTCCGAGCAGGCACGCATGGCTGCGCTCATGGCTGCGCTCAGGGTACGACTTGCAACCAGCCTTTTTGGGCCATTGTCATTCGTTGCCTGTGAAGTGAATCAGTTTTTCGTTGATCGGCACATCGGACCTGCGTCCCAACAGTGAGATCCAGTTCGGAATTTACGAAGATCTTTTGGCAGCAATGAAGGCCAAGCAGGCAGTGGTGCGCAAGAAAGATTGCTATTTATAGATGGGAAGATGACCCCAGGAAAAAGTAATCTTTTCACATCGCGGATCAGTCTGGATCAGGGCATCGCGGGTGTGTTGGCCCCTGGAAATGAGAAGCGCCTGGTGGTCTTCATCGACGCAACTCGGAGAGAAGAGGGGAGGACTCCACTCTCTGGTGGCTCCCGGATGCCTAAAAGATCTTGAAGATGTGAAGGAAAAATATGAAACTATTAATGTTTGATAAAGATAAATTTGTTGGATATGGACTGATGGGATCCCGGTTGGAATGGACTGCTGGGGTTAGCTTGAGTGGGGTGTGTTTTTTGTGCGTTGAGCCTATTAAAGAACACACACGGTGAACAGAAAAAGACAAAGCAAAACGCTGCTTCGGTTGTTGCCGGCTTCGCAACAGGGGGATCGCGGGTCCTTGGATCCTCCTCCATGGCCATGGCCGGTGGCCGTTGAGGATCTTCATCTCAGCTCCATCGCAACAACTTCTTGGCGACTTCAAGCAGCCGCTCAGCCGCTCCATGAGAGAAAGGAGGGGCCGGTGAGGCCCTGCAACCGCACGGGAAGTGAGTGCCAAGCTTATTCGCCTATAGAATACGAGCGAACTACCACCGGACCTGGTGGTTTGCCAATTCATGTTCCATGATGTTCCATGAACCTTGGCAGATTTGTGTAAATATATCTCTGGATGCGGACTCAGGCCCAATAAATTGCAGTTAATATCAGCAGGGAGGGATTTGAGCACTGGGTCTTTTAGTTCTTGAAGCCATCTATCGTTCAGGATTATTCGTTCTTAAGGCCAACGGCCAAGATGAATGGGAAGGCTTGGATAAACCAATACCATCAGGATGCATTAGCATTGGGCTCGTAGTGTCCAAAAGACAACCACTAGGTTGGTGTTGTCTATATATAGTTGTGAAAGTTGCTTCACCGCCACTGCTGATTGGCTTCGAAGCATCGAATCCATGGGGTAACTCGTCATCCACCAGACTTCCCCGGACCTTCCGCTCGCGCTTTGAGGTGAGCTCACAGTACCGAGGGCCAGGCAGGGCCAGTACCGCGGGGAGTTCCGGTGGTGCAGTCCGCCGGCCGAGAGTTTCGAAGAGAGGAAAAACGACCTCAGCCCCGCTAGTAGGTTGGAGGCCGCTACTAACAAGAAGCTAGTAGCTAGCTCCTGGCATTACTATAGTAGCAAGAACGCTACTAGTAGCTAGGGTGTTCTACTAGTAACAAGATCGTTACTAGGTTGGAGTTTGAGGCTATCGCTAGTCCTTCGCCAGGATCCAGCGGCCAGTCGCGCCTGGGGGAGTGGATTCGCTTTGGGTTGGAGTCGCAAGGAGCGAAGAAAGCCGGGTAAAGCGTGGACGGGGAGTGTGGGCGGGGAGACCCATTTGGAGAGCAGAAGCCAGGGGGGGCCAAAAAGGGGATGGAATGATGTTATAAGCAAACTCATGTAGACTCACAATGGTGAAACACTTCACTGGTGTACCTGTGTTGGGAGTCTTTGAAGACCTGGAAGGTCTATGGAGCTTCCTGATGCTGAACATGATATTCAGCTCAGGGCATGCTCATGTTAAACCTGTCCATCAAGCCCATGTTTGACACAGCAAGTACGTAGAGTGAATGTTTGTTTTGTATAATAGATGAAGTCCCCAATTTGAAGTTTGGCTGATCTTTGATCTCACCTTTCTCACACAAACATGGCGACAGAACTGAGAAGACCCTCCAAAAGAAAAGCACAGATGTTGTTATCATGTTGTCAAGCTTTCCCTTCCACCGGTGACCTTCATTTGGAGACCTTTTTCGGCCCTACTGTAGTCCCCATATATAAAACAATGTAAAGCCTACCGCCCACTGCCCGTTCGACTGTTCGCTTCGCTCGAGGATTCAAGCGGATGGAAGACGGGCACTTCGTGGCCTTCCGAGATGTGTCCTTCCTACCGTCGCTCCTGGCGCCGAACAGCCAGTCCTTGGAAGTCTGTGGCCCGAAAAGCAACGTCACGACGTGGGTGGCTGGGTTTTTCCGGTGCCTGGTGGTTGTTCTGGTATTGAGTGAGACGAGTCACTGATTGGGAACACCGTCTGTTTTAGTCATTCGTCAGAAGATGTCAGAAGTATTGTAGTTTAGGATGAACGAACTCAGATCAGTCGTGTGAGTTGAAATTACTGTATTCAAATATATAGTTCTTAATGTTTCAACTGCCGGGTTGTCACATGAATGAGTCCAAAGTCGACTGAGGCAGAGGCAGATAGACATCTTTGCAAGAGTCACTCAAGTGATTGTTGCTCATGCGAGTGTTTTGTGTGGTGGGGAACTATTGGGGACTTGGTGCCTTTGAAAGACTATGAAAGAACAGAGGCTGTCATCAAGGTTCAGAGTTCTTACACATAATCATATAATATACCTCAGTTGTTTTTGTCCATATGGAGGGGAAACAGGGGGACCGTTGGTTGGAGAGGATGGCAATTTCATTCAAGGCAAGCGCTTCACACGACACTTCTTCTTGGCCTTCATGGAGATACCTGGTGGCACATGAGATCTCCGATCTGAGCGTTACATGCGGGGCCAGGTGGAAACATAATTCATTGTGTTGCCGTTTGTATGAATTTGTCTTAAACGCTTGCTGTGGCCCGAGACCAAGCATAGTTGAAGGAAAATTAAAGGGTCGTCCGTGAGCCCTCTGAAGCCAGCACAACACCCTCCGCTTCGCAGGACTGGCTTACTCTTTTGCGACTCAGGATTCCATCAGAAGCGAGTATCCAGAAGATCTTCTCCACCATTCTCACGATGAATCTTACTGCAGGCATTCCTGAGGAGGCCCGGTCCCACATGTCCCACATGTCCCACCGAGCTCCTTTGGTTTGTGGTTGAGAAACCGCGCAGAGCGCGGGCGCAGCGTGTGGGAGCGGGCATGTGAAGTGTTTGAAATTTCCAAGCGCACCGCGCACCTCCTGACCTATTCCATATCCTTCTTTTTTTAGCGATGGCCTCCAACATAGTAGCTTCCAACCTAGTACTCATAGTTTCTTGTTACTAGTAGTAATGGCCTTCAACCTACTAGCGATGGCCTCCAACATAATGGCCTCCTGACCTCCTTATCCATTTGATATTCTCCTGGGCTTTGCACTATTTTTAGCACCACCATCCACCAACGTGTCGGCAGGTGATGCAGAACCTGACCCGAAACTTCT